AAAGAGTGAAACACACTCACATGCATTCTCCATTTCATTCACTTCCAGAATATTCTCCCAAAAGAGATGACGCCTTGACTGAGAAGCCTGGTAAGCCTGCAGGAAGCCCCAGCCCAGGGTAGGGGGCGAGTATTTTGATGCTGTGCCTCATCGAAGAGAACCATGCACACAGGGTCTTGGATGATGAGGAAAGTTGGACAACCCTTGTCAAGGATTGTTGAGGCACAGTGGGGTCAGCAGGAGTCCTGGGGGAATGACAGGAGGTGACTCAACCCAGGACTTGTCTCCCCAGACCACCCCTTCTGGGCCCTCATCCTCATCTGCTTGGCGGGACTCCGGGTGCTCATCACAGGCCTGATCTGCTGTCTCCTGGTAAGCCATGACGTTTGCTTGTCTTCTCTCTATTGGGTTGTAAGAGCTCTTTATACGTTATAAATACATGTGCTTTGCTAGGGATATGTTTTGCAAATGTTTTCTCCCAGTCTGAGTGTGGCTTGCCTTCTCCTTCACAACATGAGTCATTGGGAAAGGTAAGTGACAGTCATCGTGAGATCCACCAGACCTGAGAATGGCTATAATTAAAAAGACTGACTATAGCAAGTGTTGTTGAAGATGTCAAGTCACTGAAACTCTCATTGAGTGCTGGTGAAAAATCACTTGGATGCGTCTTTAATAATTACGTACATCTACCCAGCCATTCCACTCCTAGGAATCCATCCAGGGGAAATAAACACATATGTCTATATACAGACTTGTACACACATGTTGATAACAATTTATTTATAGTAGACAAAAAGGGAAAACAACCCAAATGTCCATCTACCGGTGCACAGATAAACAAAGTATGGCATATCCCCACAGTGGAATACTATTCAACCATAAAAAAGGAATGAATTATTTTTTTTCTTTTTTAATTATATAATTCAAATTATAAAGGGTTATAACATTGTGAAATTTCGGGTGCTCATTATTATTTGTCAGTTTCTGTATAGACTGCATCCTGCTCACCACCAGTAGTCTAACTTGTATCCGTCCCCATGCATATGTGCCTCTTTAACTCTTTCACACAACCCCTAGCCCCCTTCCCCTCTGGTAACCACTAATCTATTCTCCTTATCCCTGTGTTTGTTTATCTTCTACATATGAGTGAAATCATGCATATTTGTCTTTGTCTGGCTTATTTCATTTAACATCGTACCCTCAAGGTCCATCCAGGTTGTTGCAAACAGGACGATCTTGTCTTTTTTTTCTGGCTGAGTAGTATTCCATTGTATATAATATATACCACATCTTCTTTATCCATTCATCTGTAGCAGGGACTTGGATAGCTTCCACGTGTTGGCTATTGTGAATAATGCTGCAATGAACATAGGGGTGCATAAATCTCTTTGAATTGTTGATTTCAAGTTCTTTGGATAAATACCCAGTAGTGGGATAGCTGGATGGTATGGTATTTCTATTTTTAATTTTTTGAGAAATCTCCATACTGTTGTCCCTGGCGGCTGCACCAGTTTGCATTCCCACCAGCAGTATGTGAGGGTGCCCTTTTCTCCTTATCCTCTCCAACATTTGTTATTTTTTTTCTTGGGAATTACAGCTATTCTGACAGGTGTAAGGTGATCTCTCATTGTAGTTTTGATTAGCATTTCCCTAATAATTAGTGATGTTATACATCTTTTTGTGTGTCTGTTGGCCTTCTGTATATCTTCTTTGGAAAAATGTCTGTTCATATCCCTTGCCCATTTTTGGATTGGATTGTCTGTTTTTTGTTGTTGGGTTGTATGAGTTCTTTATATATTTTGGAGATTAACCCCTTGTCAGATATATGATTTGCAAATATTTTCTCCCAGTTGGTGGGTTGTCTTTTCGTTTTGTTCATCGTTTCCTTTGCCTTGCAGGAGCCTTTTAGTCTCATGTAGTCCCATTTGTATATTTTTTCTTTTCTTTCCCTTGCCTGAGTAGACATGGTATTGGAAAAGATGCTGCTAAGACCGATGTCAAAGACTGTATTGCGTATATTTTCTTCTAGGAGTTTTATGGTTTCAAGTGTTAGATTCAAGTATTTATCCATTTCGAGTTAATTTTTGTGTATGGTGGAAGACGATGATCTAGTTTCATTCTTTTGCATGTGGCTGTCCGGTTTTCCCAACAGCATTGATTGAAGAGACTTTCCTTTCTCCATTGTATGATCTTGGCTCCTTCGTCAGAGATTAACTGTCCACAGATGTGTGGTTTTCTTTCTGGGCTTTCAGTTCTGTTCCATTGATCTATGAGTCTGCTTTTGTGCCAGTACCATGCCATTTTGATTACTATAGCTATGTAATATATTTTCAAGTTAGGATTGTGATGCCTCCAGCTTTGTTCATTCTTCTCAGGATTGCTTTGGCTGTTCGATGTCTTTTGTTATTCCATATATATTTTAGGATTCTGTGTTCTATTTCTACGAAGAATGTCATTGGAATTCTGATTGGGATTGCGTTGAATCTGTAGATTACTTTAGGTAATATGGACATTTTAACTGTGTTTATTCTTCCAATCCATGTGCATGGAATATCTTCCCATTACTTCAGGTCATCATTGATTTCTTTCAATAATGTCTTATAGTTTTCATTGTATAGGTCTTTAACCTCTTTGCTTAAATTTATCCCTAGATACTTTTTTCTTTTTGTTGCAATTGTAAATGGGATTGTATTCTTGAGTTCTCTTTCTGTTAGTTCGTTATTAGAGTATAGAAATGCAACTGATTTTTGTAGGTTGATTTTGTACACTGCGACTTTGCTGTAGTTGTTGATTAGTTTCTAATAGTTTCTGATGGATTCTTTAGGGTTTTCTGTATTTACAGTCATGTCACCAGCAAACAGCAGGAGTTTCATTTCTTCCTTTCCAATTTGGATTTCTTTTATTTCTTTTTCTAGCCTAATTGCTCTGGCCAAAACGTCCAGTACTATGTTGAATAGGAGTGTTGAGAGTGGGTACCCTTGTCTTCTTCCTGTTCTCAGAGGAATGGTTTTAAGTTTTTCACCATTAAGTATGATGTTGGCTGTGGCTTTGTCATATATGACCTTTATTGTGTTGAGATACTTTCCTTCTATACCCATTTTATTGAGAGTTTTTATCATAAATGGATGTTGGATCATATCATGCTTTCTCTGCATCTATGGAGATGATCATGTGATTTTTATTCCTCATTTTGTTAATGTGGTGTATCACATTGATTGATTTGTTGATGTTGAACCATCCCTACATCTCTGGTATAATTTCCACTTGATCATGGTATATGATCCTTTTAATATATTGCTGTGTTTGATTTGCCAATATTTAGTTGAGGATTTTTGCATCTGTGTTCATCAGGGATATTGGCCTGTAATTTTCCTTCTTTGTGCTATCCTTGCCTGCTTTTGGTATCAGGGTAATGTTGGCCTCATAGAATGAACTGGGAAGTGTTCCATCTTCTTCAATTGTTTGGAATAGTTTGAGAAGGATAAGTGTTAAATCTTCTTTGAATATTTGGTAGAATTCTCCAGAGAAGCCATCTGGTCCTGGACTTTTATTTTTGGGGAGGTTTTGGTGACCATTTCAATCTCTTTACTTGTGATTTGTCTTTTCAGTTTCTCTATTTCTTCTTGATTCAGTTTTGGGAGGTTGTATGAATCTAAGAATTTATCCATTTCTTTTAGGTTATCCAATTTGGTGGCATATAGTTGTTCATTGTATTCTCTTATTCTCCTTTGTATTTCTGTGGTATCTGTTGTAATTTCTCCTCTTTCATTTCTAATTTTATTTCTTTGAGCCTTCTTTCTTCTTTTCTTAGTGAGTCTGGCTAAGGGTTTGTCAGTGTTGTTATTCTTCTCAAAGAACGAGCTCTTTGTTTCATTGATCCTTTCTACTGTATTTTAGTCTCTATTTCATTTATTTCTGCTCTAATTTCTGTTTTTTCCCTCATTCTGCTGACTTTGGGTTTCGTTTGTTCTTAATTTTGTAGTTCTATTAGGTGTATTTTAAGGTTACTTATTTGGTATTTTTCTTGTTTGTTGAGGTGGGCTTGTATTGGTATGAATTTCCTTCTTAGAACTGCTTTTGCTGCATCCTGTAAGAATTGTTTTGTTGTCTTTTCCTTTTCATTTGTCTTCAGGTATTTTTTGATTTCTCCTTTGATTTCTGCATTGATCCAATGGTTCTTCAGTCGCATGTTGTTAACACATATTTCTAGCTTTCCCATCTTTTTTCTCGTAGTTGGTTTCTAGTTTCATAGCATCGTGGTCAGAAAAGTAACATTATATGATTTCAATCTCAAATTTATTGAGGCTTGCCTTGTTTCCCAACATACGGTCTATCTTTGAGAATGTTCCATGTGCACTTAAGAAGAATGTGTATTCTGCTGTTTTCTAATGGTATGCTCTATATATGTCACTTAAGTTCATCTGATCAAATGTTTCATTTAAATCCACTGTTTCCTTATTGACTTTCTCTGGATGATCTGTCCATTGATGTAAGTGGGGTGTTGAGGTCCTCTACTTTTATTGTGCACCATCTTATCTTTTGTTTCATCGTGTTTGTCGGGAGGTCCTTCTTGGCCCCTCACTCTCCCTGCCTCGCTAGCGAGTCTGTCTGCATCAGTGCTACCGCCAGTCTCTCTCTTGCCGTCTTCACTTTCCCTTCCTGTTTCCTGATATCCTCCTCAGTCACCAGAAGTTGTTTGCAAAGGAGCTGTGGGATGTACAGACCAGCTCCTGGGATCATCTCTGCCGAATCTGAAGACCGGGCAGGGGTGGGCATGGGACTGGAGTTCAGACCACCTGCGAGCACACCTGGCAGGGATGCACCTGTGCAACTAGGTGCAAGGTTCAGCAAGGCTTTGGCAAGGTCCAAAGGAGTTAACAGTTCTCCAGCACTGCTGCAGGCCTGGAGACCTTGCAGTCTCTTCTGCCAGCAGCCTCTTTGGGGCTGCTCCAAGATTTCCTCCCACTGATGGCACCTGACCTCATTGCCAGGATGGGGTGTGATTCTAGTAACTGGCCTTTTGAATATGTAACTGGACATCTTTCAAAGGGATGGAGATGCTCAAACCAGGCTTTGGTTTGGGTTGGTTTCCACAATCATGTTGCTTCCTCTGTGAAGACTTCACCATCATACTTCTTTTCCTCTTACCCTATCAAAATAAATCATGGAATTGGATCAAAGTGACAAATGAAGTCTGCCTTCTCAGGACAATTCTCTCAGTGTCTTGTACTTCTACCCTCCTCCTCTCCCTCTGGGGATTAATCTGACCTATGTCCTGGGACATCATCAAAGTGACTTGGGTCAAGAACAGAAAGCTTGAGGTCAAAACTCAGGACTACTGCAGGTCATTTCTCCTCCATCACCTTGTAGACATTCTCCTTTATGAGTATGACTTTACTCTCTTTTTGTCCTTGTCACTCTCAACGGCACAAGCCCTGGTGCTCCCTGTCAGGACACATGGTCCCCAGTCTTTTTCTAAATCCCAAATCCCACCATTCTTCTGTACTATATGACTATTCATTTGATTAACCCATTGACCACTTGGTGTTCATATCTCCATTAGAGCTTAAATCAATAGTGAAATTATCATCCACCCCTTTCCTAGTGACTCACTCTTGTATCCAAGATGTTTCCATCAACCCAAATGGTCATGTTCAAAAATAAATAATGAAGAATACATATTCACCCATCAAAAATTCCTGATTTCCAGCTTTTACTCAAATGCTCATACAATAGATACCTGTTGTTCAAGATAGAAGTGATGCCAGATCTCTGTATCCTTACTTTAATTTCTTTTCTCCTTTTTCTGTCATTCCTGCATTCCATGGTCTGCGATCTCAGTAATTTCCTTGGAATGATCCAAAATTCCTTACCACTCATCATCTCTGCCTTGTAAAACTTGAAACTCAGAAGATCCCAATTATCTGCAATACTTTAACTACTGCTGGCCTTCTGATAACTGCTAAGAAAAGCATACAGTGTGATTATGTGGGTACCAGTGTAAATCCAAAATCATCTGCATCAACTGGGAAGCATCCATAATGACTGGAAGTTTTACCCTCTTTTTATGTGTTGGCATATTTACTCCTTGATTTTTGGCAAAGCTCGTTTCAAATGTTCCCCACATTTCTTTTTCCTTCATACATATTCAAGATCCCTCAATTCGCCTGATATTTCACAGAGAAATTGCTCTCTCTACTCCTTCCCCTCAGTTCTGAAACTCTGAGCAAAGGTCACCTACATCATGTATCTCTGTGGCCTCACCTCCAACCCCCTCCTCAGACCACCCCACGCTCCATCTGCCCCCACCATTCTATGGGTATTTCCCTTGTAAAGTCCCATTGACTCCTTTGTTACCAATCCCAACAGGAACTTTTCATTACTCATCCAACATGATCTTCAAGTATATAACTCTCAGGTATGTTTGGAGCAACTTAAACATGTGAATCTTATTTTACAACTGTGAACATTAAATCTCAACACAGAATGTATATCTGAAAAAATTCAACTGACAAATGGAGATTATGCTGTAAGTCTAAAGTACACATTGGCTTTATGAAACCCAGTAAAAAAATGTAAACTATCTCATTATTAATTTTATATAGAGTGCACACATAATGGTAATATCTTGGTTGTAGTGGGTTAAAATATACTATTAAAATTAGTTTCACCTGTTTGTTTTCACTTTTTAAAATGTGTCTACTAAAAAAATTTTAAATTCCCTAATATAGAGTGCTTAATGCTACTATCGCACAGTGCCGGTGAAGCCATCAGTGAAAATAAAGCCCAGAGAAAGTGGGTAGGGAAATTTTTCCCCAAGAAAAGGAGTCTACACTGGCCCACACAGCAAGATGCAGCAAAAAGTCCTATACACACACACACACACATACACACACACACACACACACACACAAAATGAAGCAAACATCCTCCTAGAGCCCCACCACTACTTCTCAAATGGCATGAGGTCACACTCCTGCTTAGTCCTAAGTTGACTCAAGAAAGAAGGCAGAAGTCAAGACAATTTACCAAAAACCAGAGACTAAAGATCCAGATATTTTGTGAATTTCCTATTGTGGCTTCTGTTATGAATTCAATATGTTATGGAGAATTTTCCAAGGAGGGTTGTTTTAAAACTCACTTTTTCTTTACTATGTAAAAATAGGCTATGTAAAGAATAATTACTCTAGTCAATCAATGAAAAGGAGATGACAGAACACAAATACCCTTATTATAAGTCACTACTGGATTAGAGAGTCAGGGAACAGCTGACATTGGGTTAATTTGGCCTTAATTAGGCTGATTCTGATTTCATGACCGTCATATTGATTGTATTATTCTAAGACCTACGAAACTTCCCAGCCCCCCTACTATTTAACCACCAAGGCCCACCAACCAGACCAGTCCTTGCTGACACATGCCCTGCCTCCATCCCTTCTGACAACACCTGGAGGATTTTCCCCAAGTCCCACGCTGTCACTGTGCTCTTCTACCTGCCCCAGGCCAAGGAAACATTTTCTCCAAAGTTCAGGCTCTGTGTATGCCAGTTCTGGGGATGGTACTTCTCCCTCTAGTGAAGAAAAGTTTCGGACTGCAGACACTGTGAGCTGCAGCAATTGGACAAAGACTGGGGTTTGCTGATAGAGAAAAGAGAACCTTTAGTGGGCACGGTTACCGGGGTCCAAGAAGCCCCAGTGATTCCTCCAAGGAACGTGATGCAGGACAGAGCAGGAATGTCTGCGTGTGGTTCGACTTGGGAACGCCTGTAGGGTGACATAGGTGACATTGGTAATGCATTCATCCATGTTGTTCCTTGATTTATTCATCGTATGCCATGGAGTGCTTTCTACATACATCCAGGCAATAGTCTCACCCCCTGGGGCTTACAGAGAGTGGCAGAAGAATTTCTAAATTTTATTTATAAGATATAGATACAGCACTTGTAATATGCTAGGTGTTCTAAGAATTTTTCAGACATTACCTCCTTTAATACTCTCCATAAACCTACAAAGTATGTATCTTATCATTATGCCAACTGACAGATGAAGAAACTGAGGCACCACTGAGGTAAGTAACTTGGCCAATACAAATATCTAGTAAGGAATTGAGCTGGAATTTGGACATAAAATGTTGACTCCGTAGTCTGTGCTCTTAACCATGATCTTTGCTCTCTGAAGACTTCACATCATGAGAAAATTTGATCAGTTATCCATTTTCTTGGTAGATTCCGTAGCCATACTATTTTCTCTGTCTGAAAAATATAATCCCTGCATAGAAACTACTGCACATACACACCCAAATTACTTCTACCAATATCCTCTGTCCCTGAAAATTAATGCAGAGAACATTTCAGAATGTTTCTTGCCCAGGCTGGGAGGACTCTGAGGAAATCTCAGTGTTACTCTAAGAAGCTGAGGACAGGCTGGGAGTTGGTCTCAGGGGAAAGGCATCCTCAGGAGTCACCATTGAATGACAGTGTTGATGGGAGGGGCTCAGCAGTGACTGAACTCAGGATCTGAGGGTGTTTCAACCTGGTGCTCGTTTTCTGGCTCTGGGTTTATGGGCTGGTGCTGCAGTACAGGGAGAGGAGATGGCTCACTGTGTTCTTGGGGAAACCAGACCCATGAAAGAGAGGGAATGATGATTTCCTTAAACAGTGGACTTGTGGTGGGAAAAATTCAGCCAGGAGGAGACAGTTATGTGCCTGGTGTAACCAGAAGGAGTTGCATCTGCTTCAGCCAAAGCAGACAACCCTTCCTCATGGATTCACTTTATCTCAATGGGATCAAGAAGGAGGAAATGATGTAATGCTCTTCTGGATGTGAGATCTGTGGTGGTAGAGACCGTGCTAGGAGGTTCTAAAGGCCCACTGAGGCGACATTTGCTGTGACCAGAATGCCAAGCATAAGCCACCCCTGCTCATGTTTGGGAACAGTTAGTGTGTCAGGGAGAAGGCTCCGTGGTGCAGATTCATGAGAAGAAGTGAGTTTGACCAGAGGAGGTCAGAAAGGCAGCCATTGTGGCTGGAGGGAGCCTGAGAAGAGAGAGGAGGGGAGAAAGGAGGGTGATCGGGCTGGATCCTGGGACATGGTAGACTGTGTTACTTTCTGTTCCTCTGTGACAACATTGCTCCAAAACCTGCCACCTATAAAGTACAAATATTTAACATCTCACAAATTCTGTGAGCCAAGCATCAGGTATCGCTTAGCTGGGTGCCTCTGCCTCAAGGTCTCTGTGAAGCAGGGGCTGTGGTTTCAACAGGGCTCAACTGGAGGAGGATTCCCACCCAAGATCACTCACATGGGTTTTGTCAGGATCCGTTTGGACTGAGAGCCTGAGTTCCTGTCTGTCTGTTGGCTGGGCACTCCCTCAGTTCTCTCCACTGGAGCCTCTACATAGGGCAACTGAAAACATTAGCACTTGCTCTCCCAGTTCTAGAGATATGACAGAGAGAGAGAGAGAGAGAGAGAGAGAGAGAGAGAGAGAGAGAGACAGATGGCAACAGAAGGAGAGAGAGAAGGAGGGAATCCACGAAAGCCAGTAAGTGGGAAGTGACAGACGTTTTGTGATTAAAACTTGGAAGTGACATCCCATCACCTTGGCTGTATTGTGTTGTTCGGAAGCCAGGCACTAACCAGTCAGCAGTGACACAAGGATGTGCACTCCAGGAGGAAGGGAGCATTAGGAGCCATTTTGGAGGCTCCCACCACATAGGCCAACATGAGGCACTTGGGACTGATTCTGAGTAAATCAGGAGACCATGGAAGGGTTAATGCCAGTGGATCACAGTATCTGAATTTCCTCTAATTTCAACCCATTCTGGGTGCAGACCTGAAAATGAGGCCCAGAGGGGCAGTGACTTTCCCAAGATCACACACCTGGAACTCAGAGAAGTTCTGACTGATATTCCATGTGAAGTCCTACTCCTTCTTGTAGTTCCTCCATCTCTAAGTGTGTGCATTAGACACATGTGACACCCGTCCACAGGTGTTGTACGTATTATCACATGTACACCTGACGATGTTCCTAGAAAGCTGTTTTTAGCACCATCACCATTGTGCAGGTTGGGAGACTGGGGAGATCTTGAGAGGCACAGTGGCTTTTCCAGGACACGGAACTGGTAGGAAAAAAGAGGTCTGACCTCAGCTCTGTCTCCTCAAAGCTGGGCCCCTGGTTCCACTCCCAAGGAGCTGTGGGGAGGGTGGTGATGGATATTTGTGTACAGTGATGGAGATGACGTGGGCAAGGAGGGAGAGCAGCCAACAGCCTAGAGGGGGCTTTGGGTGGGTCTGATTGAAGGAAGGGGCCATGTAATAGAACCTTGAAGAAGTGACCTCACTTCCTTGGTGACAGACCCCAACAGAACTTAGAACTCTGGTTACCAGGTGCCCACATTGTAGTCACAGCCTCCTGTCCAGTTCATTTGAGTGGAGACACTCGACACAGCAGGATGTTCTCATGTTGTACCGCGACTTTCCGAGGCTCTGGCCCCCGGAAAGCTGAGAATGAGAGCATGTTAAGTTGCTTTAGTCATTGGCTCAGCCCTCACCTCGATGCCTGTGGCCCTTTGGCAGGAGGAACCATCAGGTAACAGCGTAGCCCAGGGCAGGCCACTCTAGGTCAGGCCACAACTGTGATCACAAAATGGACAGCCCCACACCCCTTGACCCTCATTGTGTGTGTGTATGGGAGATGGAGTTAGGGAAGGTGGGGATGAAGAGGACCCATCTTGGGCAGGAGCAGGAAGCTAGATGGTGGGAGTCTGACAGTGTGTCATGTTCATACTCAAGATCTTGGCTGCAGGAGAGGAAGGTGAGTGCTGGGGACCAAGCTCTTCTATCCGCATGTGAATCCCAGGCCCTTGAGGTGTCACCACATTCCTTCCCTGGTGGAGTCTATGCAGATTCCCCTCTGTGCCTGATCTATGGAGGGGTTTCCCCCTGTGGCAAAGTCCAGGCAGGCCCCTATACCTCCTGGCCTGAATGCTGGGCACTGTCACTGCAGAGCTGCACCCAGGAGATGGTCGAGGAGCTGGTGGATGGTTTCCAGTTTGCCATCTCCCTGGAGAGGACACAGGCGCACCAGTCCATCAATGACCAGGGCTGCTCTGAGGTGAGTGTGGGTGCAGAGGAATCTTCACACCCAGGACCCTGAGATAATCAAGGCAGTACTAGAATGCAGACTCAAATCTGAGACTCCCCTGGGACCCCCTGCCCCAGGGTTTTCTCACTAGAGTGCCCCACAGTCCCACTGCCAAAGGAATCTGGACCTCCACTCCTCTGCACAAGCTACAGAGGAAGGTAGAAAGTCACCTCAGTCCGCCCGGTGGTTCACTGAGATGTTACTGACTGTATGTCCCTCCTCCTCTCCCTCAGTGTGAGGATCAGTCCAATTTGAATTTAAATGAGGCATGCAGGATGCGTGCCCTCCAGGCAGGCATGATGGAGAAGCTGACAGAGTCCATGGCACTAGCCTCCTTCGTGAGTAGAAACATCTTCAGCTTCACCACCATCATGGTCAACTACTCGGCCTCAGACATATCCCACCGGGTCCTGGACCAGCTGTTTACTAGGTGAGTGGCCACTCCCTCCTCAGCATAGTGGTGACTCTGCCCACTGTCAGCTGTGTATCTTGGGCAAATCCCCACATCTCTCTGAGCCTCAGTTTGCTCTTCTGAAAAGTGGGGGGGTTGATGATAATTTTCATGGGGTTCTTGTAGGGACTAATGGGATCAGCCATGGCAGGTGCTTACCTGGTGCCTGGATCTGCAGAGACGGCTGTGGATGTGCTGTGGTTGTTCATGGTTATTGTTTCTCTGTTCGCCATGAAAAGTAGTCTGCCTCACCCATCTCTGAGATGCGGCCTTTCTGAGTTTGGAAAAGCCCATGGAAACCACGCTGTCAAGGAGTTGGAGATTCCATCCAGCTGGTCCTGGTGCTTTTCCTTTGGGTAGCTAATTAAGGATCTCTGGGACAGCAGAGAGGCCCTAGGCCCACTCAAGTGTCTGGGATAGTCTTTCATGCAACCATGTAGATTAAGCACCTACTACATGCAGGACTTTTGGAGAAACTTAGTAAACTCAGTGAATTAAGGAGACACAATCAATGGGCCTCAATTGTCGTCTGAGAGTCAGACAGTCATATTCGACATCATTCGCAGATCCTGTCCTCCATCGTCCATCCCAAGTGATGCCCTCACAGCCTCCTTTACAGCTGGAGGCATCTTCCCTTATTCCAGCCAGGAGGGCAGAGCACAGGATCATCTAAAAATGTGAGTGGTCTTTGGGTCCAGAAGGAGGGCCTCCTGTCTCTACAGAACAAGCTGTGGGGGGAGTGATGGGGGCTGTGGCTGGGGCGGGCCTGTCAGAACCCTGCATCTCACACATCTTTTGATTCCCATGGGAAGGCTCAGGTATGGTGGCTTCCACTCCAGGCGGACAGGAGTCAAAAAGCTATGGATGGGTCCCAGAGACCCACTCCCACCACAGACCCATCAAATCTGCCTCCTGTTCTCTGCATCTACTTCTTCTGACCTCCACCTCCAGGCCCACGACAGGAAGTATGTGAGCAACCTGCTCAGAAATCTGCCTCAGTGCTCAGTCCCGTTGCACAAGTGTGTAGAGGGCTGGGCTAGGCTGTGTGCCAGCCCTTCAGGAGAAGATTGTCAGCGGGAAGAGAGTCATGACATACTCTGTGTCCAACCTGCTGGATGAGCAGGGCTGCCACTGCCAGGACAGCCTCACAGGGGTCAGGGCAGCCATGCTGCTCGCCCCTGGATGGGAAGGGGCAGGCATAGGGCCTAGTCCCAAGCCAGGGTGCCTTGGGTGAGAAGTGTGGAGGGAAAGGCCAGGCCTCTGACTCTGTTGCCCAATTGCCTCCCCCAGGGCCTTCTCTTCTCTGGTGGGAACCTGCCTGGACCCAGGGCAGGATTTCTGGGAGCTCCTGCACTATCCCTGCTTCAGCATGAAGCTGGCCTCTCTGCATCTCAGCTT